ATTTAACTGTTAGATGTTTTAAATCTTAAAAAAAATACTAGAAAATAAATACCGTCTGCTGCCTGGTCCGCGTGCATATTTTTCTAGTAAAATTTTATTAAGATTTAAAGTATAAATATGTCTCAATCCATTTCATAAAATTTATACATATTTATTTAATTACATCCATAACTGTTTAGTATTTTTGCGTGATTAAGTAACAAACTTACAAACAAATAAACATACAAACTTTCACATTTATAATGTTAGTAGGTTAGTAGTATAAAACAGACAGTAAAGACATAAAAATCATTTTAGAATATACTTTGAAACTTAAATAAGGGTAAATTTAACAATAATTTTAAAAATTAACAGCATTAGTAGGTACATAATTTTCCTACTTCAGGACTTAAATTGATACTACATACACTTATTACATTCAAGAGCTGTATTGTTGTCAATGTCGGGACTGTTTTTCCGGCGATTTTTTAAAAATACTGTTGACGTGATTCACACAACCGGAGAGCAGATTTATCATCAGCTTTTAATATCCCCACTGCTGGGGTACAGGCCTTCCCTAAGATGGAATAGGGAGATTAAGCCATGATCCACTACGCGGGTCCTATGGGGTTTGGAAGTCGCAACGACTGTAGATGCAGCCGGGGCCAACGGCTTAACGTGTCTTCCAAAACACAGAGAAGCTCAGATAATAAATTTTTGGTCACCCATCCAATGACAGGCCACTAAGAAAGATGCTTAACCACCACAATCGCTGACCGACCGCGCTTACCACTTGCGCCATCCAGCTCCAGAGAGCAGATTCAAACGAACGAAATTTCAGACGCACAATGAGATCCTTCCTTATCCTTCGACCACGTTGTCCGCAAATAGCGGATACACCCCCACATCCAGAGGGGGGAGGGGTCCAGACGGGTGGTGTTTAAAAATTTCACCCCCACTGCTCGCCTCACAATGCCCGGTAATCAGCGATTGCCTTTTGAAATCGAAACGGTTATTAAACTTTTTGTTTTGATCGCTTTCGCTGTCTGGTCCACGACAAACCTCTTTTTTTGTTTTTGGAAAACTATCCCTAATTCGTGTAGCAATTATTATGGGTTTTGCTGAATTTCGGATAAAAAAACGCTTGAATATTTGAGTGGTCTAAAATTAATATTAGTGATGTTGCTAGTAATGTGTAGTCAGTCTCATACAAACTTCCATCTCTTATTTTCTTTTCGTCTTTGACTTTAACTGTCAGTATTAAAATTCAATAAAATACAAAAAATAGAATCGCGGTTAAAACCTAGCTTAAAATACATATGATTCATTAACTTACTTGGAACATGCTCACTCTTGCCCTATTACGACCACACACGGTAGGGCGATAGTATCGATGTATTAAAATTACTCGCATCGTAATCTGTTAATCCTCTATCAATCGATGTAAGACGGTGTACCGCTACCGATATTTTGATGACCGTGTCATGTTTGTCTAATACGGTCAGTAAACGATTCTTGTAACGGAAAGAAAACATTAACCTTTTTTCGGTACAAAGTTTTTATCACTTTAATAAAAGAAAAGCGGTTAGATTACCTCGCGAAAGCCTTATTTGATAATATGATATTAAAACTTTTTGCATTTCGTGAATTCAGAGAATAATCAAAGTTGATAAATATCTTTATTTAAACTTAAATAAATTTAGAGAACACTGATTTCATAAAAAGAAAAATCAAATTGATTTCATTTATTTGTTGCCACTACGAGTTGTGATGACCAAAATGCAACACAATGAACAATGCTCTGGACAAAAAGGTCACAATATTGATATCTTGTACAATGTATAGGATGTTACTAATTTTATCATTAGAATTTATATGATTATTGGGATATAAAAATGCAAATTAGAAAAAGGAGACGGATGGGACGTAATCTGCTTCGTTTTGTTTGTTTTATAATCAACGATTTTATTTGTTTATAGAAACATTTGTTTCATTATTATGTTAAAGAAAGGTCTTGTGTGAACCACAGTTAAAAAATACTATAAGTGTACATATTATTATGATTAATATGCACATTTTGTAAAAAACAATGCGAGGCCAGGTAATTGTTATTTCAGTATTTTACAAGAATTTTAATTAGAAATGTGTTCAATATTATTTTCGTTTAACACACTCACTAAGCAAGTGCGTTTTATTTGGGAAAACAATCGTAATTTATTTATTTGCAGTAGTAGCGAGGTGATTTTAGTCAATAAACTCTTGGCGCTTTTATAATGTATGATTTATACCCGAAATCGATATTTTTTCAAAAACTGTTAGTTTTCTTTAGTTTGAGTTTATCAAATAAAATTCGTATGTTTACATATGAGTAGCATAACTTGAAGGATTATAAATGACTGCACAAACGTAATATCACGTGATGGTTTGTCTTTCTAACATTCGACCAATATTCTTGATCCGCTTGAATATTTGAGTGGTCTAAAATTAATATTAGTGATGTTGCTAGTAATGTGTAGTCAGTCTCATACAAACTTCCATCTCTTATTTTCTTTTCGTCTTTGACTTTAACTGTCAGTATTAGGTTAATAAATAAATTAGCGCTGTAAGAAGAACTTTGCTCTCCCCACATAAAAAACAAGGTACATGGTAACAATCCCGTTAATAGCTATAATGTTAGTGACCATCAAAGTTTAAAACAATATGAACATTTGTTTATTTTTCCATATTATTGAATGAGAAACTAACATCAGCCTGTACCAATCTTCTTTCCGGTCGGTCACAATCTGACCGTTACAATTCAATAATCGTCTTAACAGCCGAGATCGCTTATCGGCCGCGCCCACTAGTGATGTGTAGACGTCAACTGTAATTTCATTCTAATTTTTAAATATGAATCTTTTTTTTGAAGTTTTATAATTTTATGATATTTAAACTTTATTTTAAAGTGTTCCGTAGTCTCTTACCTATAAGTTACACAGTACAATCGTTAATAATATTATAACTGTGCTGTGTTAAAATTTTACTGTCATTATAACTATGTGACACTGAAGTTTTCATGATGAACAAAGAGCAGAAACTGTTTTCATGTTTTGTCAATTCTATTCAGTCGCTTTAATCGACTCATTCAATTATGCCAGCGATATCTTTACTAATTCCTTTATCTATTAACTTAATAGTACAAATTTCAAAATTAACGATTAAGTACTTTGAAGTCCTGTCATGATGGCTAAAAAATAAGTCATAAGAAGACATGATGAAATCAATTTTTTACAATTTTTTCCAAAAAAAAACACTAAAACCATACACAGTTCAATTACTCAACACTTAATACAAATTTCTTAAAATGTTAGAAGAAAAGGCAAGATGGATGAAAATTAAAAAAAAATATTTAACAACATTAGTACTAAAACAATTATTTTTAAATCTTTAAAAATGGAATCCTAACTGTAATATTAAAAAATAGAAGTACTCATCGCCTCCACCACTAAGCATGGCAAGCTCTCGATTGTCTTCATAATAAAACGCGTCTGTATCACAATGAGCCATCAACATTCGTCTTTCGAGTCGGCTAGAGGTGCGCCGATGACCATGTGTCTCGTCCACAGACATAGTTCGAAATAGATACCGCAATTGTTTGTTCTTCGCGTGCCAAAACATTACAAAGGGTAGAGCAAAGTTCTTCTTACAACGCTAATTTATTTATTAACCTCTCCGTACTCGAAACTGACACCCAAGCACGAATTTTGGCATCTACGTGATCATATAGCATCGTCAAATTTTCTATGAAAACTGAGCAGTTCCCCTATTGGATGTCAGAAAACACTAGCTTTTCGATACAAAATTTGACGTTAATATTACGGAGCTAGCAAAACTATTGCTAGGCTTAAAATAGCAAATTTTAAAAAACGTGTAACAAAGCCATATTAAGCTGTAAAAACAATAAATTATGTAATTGAAATGTGGAGCCAGGGGCTTTTCCGCTACTCAATTTAATCTCGTGAGTACGTACTCAAAATGTGACACGATCGGTTTTCATATAATTTGAAGATTGTCCACTTAGATATAGATCTGTGGTCACATCTCATCCCGAACACGACTCATGAAAAGTTCCGTCCATGCCTCGGATAAATCAAGCGTGAACATCTACTGAAACAGAATTCAATTACTTACAAGTATCAAAACTACTTCGGCGCACATTCGAATTAGCGTTTGAAAATGTTTCTGATTGTTTCAGCGCCACTTGCAACAATGTTCTTTAATTAAAATTTAAAATAAGGACGTATTCTATTGAGTTCAAACAGTGCCAAAGAGAATGTCTCAGGGTGAGTTAGAAAATGTTAAGAAAAATATAAAAAAGAAAAAATAGAGATAAGGGACTACAGTTTAGACCGACACATTTTTTTAAATGTACGGCATTTAAGGTGATTTTAGTGTGCGTTCGAATATAAAATGCATAGAATTACTTTTTACCCAAAAATTTGGTCCTATTTATCCACGGATAGTATTTTTGTTGAATTCGAGGTTCCCTGAGTAGTTTAAAATAAAATTATAAAGCTCACGCGGACAAATTCGAAGAAAAAGTTTAGTTGAAAATATATATGTGCCATATTTTATCTCGTTTTTGAGATAAAAAAAAATAGTTTTAAGTTACAAAACAAACGATAGGAGTTCTCAGCTGCCATCCCGCTACACCGGTATACATTACATACATAGATTTCAATATCAACAGTCTTAACCCGCGCGTGCGTACGTGATTCCACTGCTCGTATATTTCATAAGATTTCGGAGGTGCATGAATCACGCGGGACACGCAGGGGCGATCAGTCACCGACGAGCCAACCCTTGGACCTCTCCTACTTAGCATGCGGCCCGCGCGCCAACCCTAGGCCCAACACTACGATATGTGAGAGCTATTACTAGACACTTTGGCAGTGTTAATATTGCTGTAAATCTTCCATCGGGAATCGCCTAAGTAGATTCGTAATGGGTGTCTAAACTTGTTTTATTTTCATTGTCCATAGAGCCGAGCAACTACGTGTGTTCGACGTGCAAAGCCCGCGTTCACTCTGCATGGAGGTTACTGCAGCACGTCCAACACGTGCATGGAGTCAAGATCTACGTGGAAACGCTTCCGCAGCAGCAGCCTAGCAAGCAAAACCATTCCACTTCGAGCACTTCGTCAACGAGCTCTGGGTGTTCTTCCACTGGGGCGCCCCTTCCACCGCCCTCGTTACGCCATCACCCGTTACTACCACCGCCTGACATGCATTCCCCGTTTGGAGTAGGCGGCTTGCTAAGAATGCCACTACCAGGGAGTTTACCACCTCTAGCTCATCCCTCGGTCCCGCCTGCACCTCTGTTTACGCGACCGAACCATCATGACCATCGGTTTAGGATGGAACAGCTTGTATCAGAGCAGTTCCGACACCACGGTCTGAATCTTGCAGCGGCTGCGGCAGCGGTCGCGGCGAATTCTCTACCACCTCACCAGACATTTCCTTCGCCAGCTGACCGACCTCCCGTAGTGCCCACTTCGGTATCAGGTCGAGATAGAGCACCTCCAGTATCACAACCCCTCTCACTTGAACCCCAGCTGGATTTTTACTCGCAGCGCTTGCGGCAACTGGCCGGTACGACCAGTCCAGGGGCGGCCACAGGCAATTCGAGCTCTCCTAGCCCCAGGAAGCATTCGCCGCCGTTCGCTTCCCCGTCGCCCTCCAGAGTTGGCCAAACTCCACCGGCGGGCGCCGGACCCGGAACGGTGGACACCCCCCGCGAGGCAATCAGGCCTCACAGTTCAACGTCCCCAGAACGTCGAACTGAGCCGATGGCTGCTGACGCACCACCTCCTGAGCGGCCGTCGTCAACACCGCCGGCCAAACGGAACAATGATGAGGCAGTCCACTCTTGCGAGTTCTGCGGTAAGAAGTTTAGATTCGAGAATAACTTGATCGTTCACCGACGGTCTCACACGGGGGATAAACCTTTTAAATGTACAGAATGCGATGAAGCTTTTGAAAAAGCGTCGAAATTAAAAAGACATATGAAAGTGCACAGGGGACCTGATGTGAAATCGGAGGAGGGTGAATCTGGCGGTGATACCGCTGAAGATGACTCCGATGATGAGTTGGAGGACGAGGAGCTCGATGGCGAAGAAGAAGAAGAAAATGAGGATGGTGATGATGTAGAAGAAGCCGAGGATTTGACAGTTTCCAACAGTAGTGCTCCTTCAGCGCCAACGCGGAAACAAACGCCAGCCTTGCCAGCTCATCCTCCTACGGCGTCTGTAGTTGGTGAATTAATGGATAAATTTGGGCTCTCGAATATTGCTCAGTACAGTGAAGCATTCAAACAAGCTTTACAAGAATCTGGGAAATCGTTAAATTGGCAGTTAGCCAAGGACCGAGACAATAACAACGGTCCTCCGAGCGAAAAACCTAATGGAATGCCACCGGCAGCTTTACGTTTAAAAGAAGAATTCGCTAAGATGCCACCTCAGCCACATCCACTTTTCAACCCTTTTGAAAACCCATTTGAAGCATCTAAACGAATGAAATTAGACATGGATCGAGGTGAGGGATGGTGGCTACCTACTCTACACGCACAAAGACCGCCTGAAAATATTTTCGACGGCTTGAAGAACAGCAGCAACGGTTTACTCCAAAATCCGTTATTGAAATCAAAGGAAGGGAGACGCAATGACACTTGTGAATTCTGCGGCAAAGTATTCAAGAACTGCTCAAACTTGACTGTACATAGGCGATCGCACACAGGGGAAAAGCCATATAAATGTGAACTGTGCTCGTACGCTTGCGCGCAGAGCTCGAAGCTGACGCGGCATATGAAAACGCACGGGAGGTTAGGCAAGGACGTGTACCGTTGTCGGTTCTGCGAAATGCCCTTCTCTGTTCCGTCGACTTTGGAGAAGCACATGCGTAAGTGTGTTGTGAATCAAAGTAATGGTGCTGCCTTAGCATTATCCGATGACTCTAACGCGTGCCGCGACGAGGCCTCGTGACTCTACCCGTGGGGTGGTCTGCGGCTGCCCCCGCCTGCGCCGCCCAGCCAGATTTTCTAAGGCCTAATGTATTATTTACGAATTAGTTTCGTCGCGATCACGACCACCCCGCGCGAATCGTTTGTGACAGGTCAAACTTTGTTCAACTTCTAGTCTTAAGGTTTAGTTGGTGATTACTCGACTATTGCAATACGAGCCCAAAATACGTTTGCACCGAAGGGCATTATTTTAACATATCTCTCGTGTACCGAAATAGTTACGGTCCCATTTTATTGTTAAAGTTAGGTTGAAAGTATTTTTTTTGTTTTTCGGGGCTGCATTTGTGAGCTGCTCGACTCAGCTCGACGTTACTATGACGATATTGTTTTGACATGTTTTATTTATAGAAAAAATGTGGAAACCAATGCCAAAGTTAGCTATGTTGATTTTAACATAATTTAGTTCTTAAGCTGTATAGTGTCAATTAATATAGATTTTTCCAGTAATTTTTAGGCTCTTCGTAGTTTGATGTAGTACGTGTTTTCGAAAAAGTTGTTTCGTAATTTTAAAATATTATGTAATATATAATATGGTAAGCAAAAAATGTTTCCTATCCTAGATAATGATCTTGTGTAAATAGTTAGTTTTAAGTAAGTGTAATGTGTAAATCGAGTACCTACCTATTGATGTTCATATTTATAAACAATGTTTCACAAATAAATAAAAAAATAATAAAACGGAAAAACGGTGAGTTTCCTGTAAACGATAATTAAATAATAAGCTTTTTAGAAAGCAAAATTGGAATCGATTTAAGGGTGGGTGTTACTGATAACGAGGTAATGCTAGTAATAAAATTAGTGTTAAAATTATTTAATAAAAATATATATACATATTATGTTGTGAGAAGTTCGATCCTCATTTCTATGATTTCGTTTCATAACAAAGAAGGAAAGAAGCTAGTTATGTTTTAAGACTGAAAAAGATATTCCAGTTTTGTTTTAAATATAATGTTTTCATGTGATTCTTGATTCGTGGAAGATAAATTCGCTCGTACCTAAATTTAGTCCAAACGTGAAATATTTCAGTATACGTACTTAATGTAAATTATGGATAGAATTTATATTAGATAATTATAAGTAAATTATAATATCAGCGTTTCTGTCGTCCATCGGTCCCGTAATTACTTTTGTTATGCATTGCCAATATTAGGGCTTCTTTGGGCGATATACATAAAACCCCTTTTGTGGAAAATTATCTTGATGATATTGTTGTATCGCGCAGACGAGACCTAATATTGTGAACGGATTAAGGCGTTTGACCGTTTTTGTCCGTATCGTCGCCGACAAGTCAATTTAATCAATTCGCCGTTTAAAATGACTTCTCGGCGCGACTTCTAAGTTATTCATTTGAACATCAATTTGTATCTGAACTCATATCACTACCGACTTGTACATTGGCCATAATTAAATGTAAAAAAAAATACGTTAAATAGGTATGGTTGTTATGAGATGAATTTAACTGTCGTGATTCGTTGTGATGTTTCTTTCGTTTTGTATTATCTTGTTTAGTTAACAAATGCACAGTTAGTTAAATTATTAATTTAAAAAAAAGATAAATATATACGTAAGGCGAGAAAGGACGACGGATGGAAACAAAATAGCGAAACAAAATAAATGAATAGACAAACTCTAAGACAAATTTTATCGTGTAACTACGTGAAAGATGAACTGTTTTTATTATTTTCATTTTTAATATTTTTATTTCAATAAATATCCACGATTTGTTAATCATGTTGTTGTTTTAATAATTCACAACCCTTCTTTTGTTTATATTAAGAGACAGCAGTACATTGAGCGACGGAACCCTGAAATTTCTAAGCAGATCGTAAAAGTCTAACAGCAATTACACATTACTTTTGCTTCTTTTTACTTAAATCTATCCAATGCTTACTGAGCATGACTTGCACCAAATTACTTTAAAATTAACTGTTCTGTTAAGTACCGGCTAGTTAAAAATAGTATTACAGATAATAATACACAATTAAGAGGTTAACATCGGCAGCTGCAACAGTATAAAACTGTTGCACAGCTTCCTACGTCTTCCATTTTCAGGAAAAACAAATACAAACGAAGTAAGCATTACTGTAACAATATAAAAAAAAATATATAGTACAAGATCCGAACCTACATCGACCTCCACCGAGCTGATAATAGAATGAAACATATTTTATCATGACTTTAGTATATTACAAAATATATTGAAAATGGGTTGCCTAAAAAAATGCTGAACAGACTACTATTAATTATATTTGAAAAATTAAAAAAAAATATGTTGCTACATCACGATAATCAGAAAATGTTGTCCTGACTTCAAGTATAAAACGTATAAATTGTGTGGCCGTTGGGTAACGTAACTGTATACCTGTTTATACCTGGTAACTCAGTAGTTCAGCCAGGTAAATAATAGACAACCCTGCACATTTTATACTGTTTTAGGACATTTTCTTATTATCTTGATGTTGCAACATTTAATTTTTTTTTTAAATTATTGAATAATAGTCTGGCCAGGTTTTTTTGGCAACCCATTTTTAACATTTTTAATATATTTTCTAATATGGGACCAAATTAATGATAAAATATGTTTCATCCTATTATCATCAGCTCGATGTAGGTTCGGATCATAAAGCGATATATATGTGTAAAATTTAACAAAATAAACAAAAACAAATTGAAAATTAAAGTTGTCACAATCACCCACAACATCAAAATCAGATCATAAAAAACCATTTACACGGAGCGCATAATCTCTTCAGTCTCATCAAAGTTCAGAAGCAGTTACACCATTTGAAGATTGTCAAAATATGATCATAATTTGACAGTGACAATAACTGTCCCAGCGAGCCCGGTTTAAATTGTAGCAAAAACTGTAACTGGCGTATGTCACACTAAGCGTAAGTTGAACTAACTATAAACATTAACGCCCTTATTAATTAAACGAAGACTACGCATGTATTAGTTACTCCATGTTTAATCTCTGTCTATTAAATGACTTATGGCATTTGAGTGACATGAACAAAACACGGCGTAACTACTCTAAGCTTATTCCTTGTATATTATAAAGTACCGGTGAGGTGAAAATGGGTTGCACCATTTCACAATAGTCTAAATGAGGTCAGTAGGGGTGATGACGGGGTACAGTAAACGAAATTCTTTTTAGTCCGTCAGTTACATGATCAAAAAATAATGGACACGTATTTTTTCTTTGGGCAATCAACCAAAAAATGACAAAGTTATAGCGCGTCAAAGTTTGGGAGTAGGGGCTCGTGACGTCACTTTTAAGTAAAAATTGTACCAAAACGTGACGTCATGCGACTTTTCAAATCAATATATCTCTGCAATGTTTATCATATGTGAAAAAATACGTGTCCAATACTTTTTGATAATCTACCTGATAAACGAAGAAAAAATAGTCATCATCCCTATTGTCCCAGTAAGGCTTGTTGAAATTACAGTTAAATTTAACTTTAACTAGCTTTGGTACAAATAAAGTCGCGCTGCTTCATCGATAGTATTTTTTTTTACTTTAGTTACTGTAACGTCAAATTCATAGTAAATGTGTCAAATTTTGACTTTTCGGTTTCCGGATCGCAAGCGTCTGTAGGCTTTAGTGGCTTACCATGAGGAGGGCCATGTACCTGTTTGCCACCCTTGAGGTAGCCTCACAGCGTATAGGGCAACTTCCGAAATGACGAGTGCATTTCGGAAGTTGCGCTATGAATATGAAGACAATGAATTTGGATCGTGGGTCGGCCCCCCACAAGGTGGGCTGACGACATCGTCAAATGTGGTGGGAGCTGCTGGATGCGGATAGCGCAGAACCGTGGATTGTGGCGTTCTATGGGGGAGGCCTATGTCCAGCAGTGGACGGAGAAAGACTGATGGATGGATGGATGGATGGAATTTGGATCACTCCTATCTCAGAAACTGATTTGGTTTCTCATTTATTTCTCTGGAATAAAGATATTTTCATGTACTACCACGACCTCACACAGAGCCGTTAATAAAATTTTAGTTTCATTAAAAGTTGGAGCTTTTACTTTTTTCCGTCAGCAATAAAATGAGACAAACCCACTTTAACAGACCTTCAATTCCTTTGACGTCTTTGAGTTGTAACATTCAACATACTTTAATAGTTCCTGATATCGTTAGCATCTGCAAGCTATGCTGACCGTGCAATGAGTTATGATCGCTTATTGTTGTGAATGTTAAAATATTTATTAAATATTTTGTTCTTTAACTCCGTCCTACCTGGGCGGCACATTTAAATTATTATCTGTTATTGAAAAGTCTAAACACAGTGGAGATTTTAGGAATACTTTTGGAGATAAACAATGGAATAACTCTATGATAAACATAGTAATATGTAAACATATTTAAATAAAGGCACTTATTTTAATGATTAATAAAAAAAATGTAATTGATCCTTAATAAAACACAATTGTTTATTTAAATTAGATCGTAACCTAACCTAACCTTAAGGTTCCGAATCATATTGGATGAGCATTTATTATTTTTTGAGGACTACTTAAATATTTCTCTTTAATCAATGTTAAAAAGATAATGCTGCCCCGGTACATACCTATACCATGGACCAATAATATTAAATACGTATTTAGCTGATGTTGCTCATCGAATTATAAAAAGTAAAACAGTATCTTTTTAACAAAATACCATTTACTGTAATTAACTTATTCTGACCGTATACTGTTGTAACTAAAAACAACATAACGACAGTGGAAATGCAAAGTCGCTTATACGCCACTTTGGTCGAAAATAAGTTAAATGTATATATTATTTGAATCATTTTTTTTTTCTGCGTGAAGATTTGAGTACTTTTTTGGCGCTTAAGCAACTCAATTTTGTGACGATTTTTATTGTTAAAAATTTGGTTTATGCTCTAAGCTCACAACGCTGAAACGACATCAATGTTGGTGTTTTTTGAACCAATGGCGCACTTACGTCGTACTATTTGGCATATGCTTTGATGTTTGGTTGACAAAAAAAATATGGCGGACCGAGTGATTTTCGCTTAAGCGACATCTTATTCGTAAAGAATAGTGTCTTTAACTTTTTAATAGGAGGATATTTAGAAAACATGATTTTATGAATATATTTTTATTTTTATGACGCTACTTCTCATTAGAAATGATAATGTTTTTTTGTGAAAAAAAAACCTTGAACCTAGTTTCTGTAAAGTTACTAAAGTGGCGTTTAAGCGATTTTGTTTTTCCACTTTCGATAATATTACATTTGAATTTGGAATCTAAATTCTTATAATATGTAAGAATATTCTTTCTCTTTTTGCGACAAGCTAAATCGGTGTTAAATATTTTTGTGATAATAATATGGAGTGCAGTCATATAGGTCAAAATTGAATTGCTGTGGCAACATTAGGCAAAGTAAATATGGAGCCACCCGCTTGGTATTAGTCGTATGTTTGTGTACCGGACTATTGATAGATGCTATTTCTCACATCAAACACTGGAGGTTTCATTAACCATCAACTGTTTGGTGACGGAAAAAGATCTGGCCACGTAGTGTTCGCACGAAAAAGGCGATCAAAGCAGTGGGAAAGAATTCGAAGATATCTTGTCTAAAAGCAAACAATTTCATCTCAGGAAATGAATATAGTACCTAAAACCATGTCACGTATTTCAGATTAAAAGATTAATCAGGACTTGCAGTCTTCAGAGACGCACTAGTGATTCTTTAAATGGTAATTGAATAGGGTGGTAAAAAAAACAAATTCCTAAAGAAAATTTTACTAGAAAAAATCCACGCGGACCAGACAGCAGACGGGACTCGAACCCGTACTCTCCGCTATCCGGGCGAATGTACTGACGATTATACTACCGCGGCCCTGATGGCCGTGTTGAATTTTTTCTAGCCTTTCTCAAGCTGCAAGGCAGTGGATGTTTTTCTAGTAACATTGTCTTAAGATTTAAGCACATAGCAGTTACAGGCTTAAACAATCTATATATATAAAACTCAAAGGTGACTGACTGACATAGTGATCTAACAACGCACAGCCCAAAGTACTGGACGGATCGGACTGAAATTTGGCATGCAGGTAGATGTTATGACGTAGGCATCTGCTAAGAAAGAATTTTCATCAATTCTACTCCGAAGCGAAGCGAGGGTGGGCCACTAGTTACAAATAAAACAGCTTCCTAAGCCGTACGCAAAGGGAGGTCATTAGAAAATTTTATTTGCTGATAAGGATTTTTTACTATTGAGCAATGTTTTAACAAGCAGATTCACCGAGTTTGTGCTCGATGCTTCTATAGAGAAGCTTCCCAATTAGTCAGCAGAGTAAAACGTGGAAATTATCTGACTTGAGTATTGGTTTGGTGGGAAGTTAGCCATTGAAGAGTGACTGAGGCATATCTGTGTGAAAAAGATCACAAAACATCATACACAAGTGTATCAAGATACGATTCTTGAGAAGGCGGTTAAGACTTTAAGATCAATTATAATTATATTGTAAATGTGTGTTTGGTATCTCATCGCCCGGCCCTGGTCGCTTGATGGGTTCTTGCGTTCAATAGGTCGTTGTTATTACTACAGACTAAAAATGGAAACCTTTTGCTGTCATTCTGTCTGTCCGTATGCTGCTATTTTATTTATCTTTCTTACATTCATCATCATCATCATCATCAGCCTCTTAATGTCCCCACTGCTGGGGTACAGACCTTCCCTATGGATGGAATAAGGAGATTGGGCCAAGACCCACCACGCGGGCCCAGTGCGGATTAGCGGGTGCTAACGACTGACAGATGCAACCGGGACCAACGGCTTAACGTGCCTTCCGAA